TAAATTATATTATATTTAAATATTTTAAATATTTTTAACATAAAAATTATATTTTAGATTTGTGATAAATAATTTATATTATAAGTTATGACACTGTTATTTTTATTATTAAAAATTTATTTCAAAATATTAAAATTTAATTTAAAAATAAATACAATAAATATAAATTGATATAGATAAAAAGTTAAAAAAAAATCTCTGAAATATTTGTCATTAAAAGAAAAAAATGCTCTTGTTAAAAACAACTCCTAAAATTGTTCAAGAAAGATAATTTTTTCAATTTGTATAAAATATATTTTATAATTAGAAAATGGAATAATGCATAACAATTCAAAAAGAAACATTAATGATTCTTTTGTGTAATTTAAAAAATAAATTATTCATAAAAAAAGTTGAAAAAACTATAAAAAAAATAATTCTAAAAATATTATATAATTTTAATATATATTTTAAATACCATCTATGTGAAATATAAGATAACAGTGGTGTAAAAAAAATATAAGATAATATGGTATAAATACTATATTATCTGATGTTATTGAATAACTCTAATATTTTATTTCATCAAAAGCAATATTTTAAAAATTTGACCAATCATTAAATTACTCCAGGTATTGATTCAAGGTTTAATATTTCATGATCAAATAAATATTAATAAAATAATCATAATTTATTATCAATATAAAATAATATTAAACAAATATAATATTATAACTTTATAACACTAAAAATTAAATAAAATATTATTTATAAATTCTTAACACATAAAATTTTAAACTATGTAAAATATAATATTTAAATTTTAATAAAATATAACTATGCTCATTAATAATAAGTTTGTATTTAAAATAAAAATATATCAAATTAATATAATATAAATTATAAAAAATAAAGATATTACAAAATTACAAATTAATATAAATTATTAAATTATATTTATGAGACGAATATTAAATATAAGTCATATTAATTTATATTTTTTTATTAAAAAATAAAATAAATTTAAAAAAAAATAAATTGAAACTGTTGTAATCGATTTTGACCGGTTTGATACCAAACAATTTTCTAGGCTAAATGAACCGATTGAAGACTGATTCCTGGTCAAACCGATTCGAACAAGTTCAGTCTGATTTTCATAACCATGATCATAAGCTTTCCGCTTGGACTCAAGAAAAAGAATCTAGTACTATATGTTTCTACCGTGCTTTAAGTACCTACATGGGCTTAAGATTAGTTTTAAAATTATGGCTTAAATATTTAGTGTAAATTATAACAACGATGTTATAACTTAACCTATAATAACTCATCTATACATACAAACGTGAATGAAGGGCAGAAAATTGTTGGTGTAAATAGGAAAAAACTTGCCGTGGCTTTTTTTTTTTTTTTTTGGGTGTATACTTGACATGGCTTTAGATCCATTACTGCCAATATTTGGAGAAAGAAATAAAAAGCACTAAACGCAGGACCAGCAAAATGGCAGTTGGAAAATATCTTTTATCTTTTTCATACCCCATAAAAGAATAATATCTTCAATTACTAAGCAAAAATGATTGGTAAAGCAGGCATTGCGCTAAATGGTGTGGATAGCCAATCCTCAACATCAGGCGTATATTTTGGCATCTTTGAAAAACAATGTAATTTGAATAAATTCGATATTTTATGTTTGCAAAATAAAAATTGTCAGCATCATGCTCTACGGATGATATATGCGCCATTATGGCTGTAATGAAAAATGTTGCATCCAAGAGAATAATGCTGCTACAATGATACTTTTAGCTCCTAGAGGACCACCACATGCTTGAATGGCAACTGACCCAAAATTTTAAAGTAGGGCCCACTCATGAGTATGTCTTGTGGGGACTGTGGAAATAAATAACTCAATCTCTAGGTATTAGGTAAAGGGAAGATTGCAACAGATATAATTAATTAGATATCCCATTATACAATATCCTTTCCATATCATATGAAATATAAAAAATAAAAATAAAAAATAAAAAACCTGGTCTTCTGTTCATACAAACATTATATCACAGATTGCCAATCACTTTATAAACTAGGGCGATTCTTAACTAGCACAAAGAAATGACATTCAAAGCCCACCTCCATTAGAGGAAGAATACCACCCATCAACCTATAAGGGATATCAGGGCTCATCAAGCTGGTCCTGCAGGAAGTTATGTATAGCACAACTCAGATTTTGATCTCAGATGGGTAAACCAAAGAATAAAAATGCTAGCAAAACACTTTTTTTTATTTATTTATTATTGGTTGAAAATCATAAATTTTAGTGGGTCCTACAACTAAATCAGAAGAGAGACACATTAAATGAGATATTAAACTCACAAAATTTATGATTTCTAATAAATTTCATCCAGCGTGAAAAAGAGTGTCGCTAACATGCTAACATTCCGATAGAGAGAAATATTATGTAACTATTGGGTTCCATTATGACATTTACCTGGACATCAGAAGTCCAAAGTGTGAGGTTGTCTCTTAGAAGTTGCATTATGAGGGTGCTGTCTTTGTAGGATTCTTCTCCTAAGGTGTCCAGCTCAGCAATTGCCTCTTCAAAAGCCTTTCAAACATGAAAACCAATACGGTTAAGTAGATTATAGAATCGATAAGGATGTGCTCCTATTGCAGTAGTTAGAACAGTAGAAGCCAAACATGAATGGAGAAAGAGAGAGAGCGAGGCAGAATATCAGAAAACAAGGAAGCATGTAAGCCAATATGGATAAGCCTGGATTACTAATAGACAAATTGAAGTGTATTTTTCCAGAGCGAGAACATCCAATTTTGGGTTAAAGTTAACAACACTTCCAACTCATCAAGTTTGGTACACAACCAATTAACTGAATTTTACAATTAAAAAAAAACTATAAATCAGTTGCAGATGAATAATCAAATCTTTGCAGCAAAATATCAACTTCATTTTTATTTTGGGAGAAAATCCCATCATTTAGTAACAATTGAACAGCAAAAAAAAAAAAAAAAAAAAC